TATTAACATGTTGCCACAAATGATAATACATCAGAGATAATACATTTTGAGACATTTTTGAGACAAGTGAGACCTGAGGCACAGCTGAGCCCAGTATAATGGAAACACTCATTGCCAGCAGTTTGACAGCAATTTTTAAAAAGGTCTTTATTCAGCCCTGCTGAATCCGTCTGCCCACCAAACCCTGTAACTGCCCTCCCAACTCAGTGAAAATGTGAAAAATGTGAAAAGATGTGAAAAATGGAAGGACTAGTACTAAGATGTGTACAAAATTCCAAAGGGAAGAAGGAAGAGGGACTGAGAATGGATAGCTATTTTGTTTTTGTTTCAAATATGAATTATGCTACAGCTTTGTTTAGCAATTTTCAAACTAAAGAAAATGTGGTACTTTTTTAGCAAGCAACACTCCAAATAGACCGACTCCTTCAGACTTGGCTATCGTAATGTATACCAGTGGTTCTACCGGTCTACCAAAGGGCGTAATGATACATCATTGCAACCTGATCGCTGGAATGACAGGCCAGTGTGAAAGAATACCTGGACTGGGGTAAGACATTTTCAACTTTCTAAACAGGTGTAATCAGGTGACTCAAGTAAAAATGTTAGGGATGCTTTAATTTAAATTAAATTAAAAATGTGCTGTCGTTTGTGACCCATGTACAACAGCCCTAAACTCCGCTCTGTTTTGACACTCCCATCCCATCAATCCACCTCATAGAGGGTCTTCCCCCTCCTGTGCTGTCCCTCCACCCTCACAAGCATGATGTCCTTCTCCAAGGACTGGTCTCTCCTCACAGCATGTCCAAAATATGTTAGACGGAGCCTCAGAATGAGCCACCTGGTATAACCCTTTCCAGGATGAATCTGTTTTCCTAGCAGTCCATGCTTTTTTAAAATTATTAAAATATTTTTCTTGTCTACCCTGAGCCCTGATCCACAGGTGATCAAATTCTGACAGGAAGCTTAGGGGATGGTGGATTCATGTTAATGAGGGAGGGACAATTTAGAATGGTTGCTCAGCTCCCAGACTGTCATCAGTGCCATTGCAAAATGTACAAATTGGTTTGTTTCTGCTGTGTTAACAACAACAAAAAAATGTTTCTCTCGTTTTAGACCAAAGGACACTTACATTGGCTACTTGCCCCTGGCCCATGTACTGGAATTGACAGCAGAGATATCTTGCTTCACCTATGGCTGTAGGATTGGATATTCTTCTCCACTTACACTTTCAGACCAGGTGACAAAATTTCCACCATGATTTACAAACATAACTACTTTGGGAGAGTGAATACACTGAGCCTTTTAGATAGCTCACTAATAAGCATTGAGATGTTTTTAAATGTGTGTAATTCTATCTTGTAGAAAAGGTCACATTCATATTCTGTTAATATTTGTTAATATTTGATACCATTTGCTGAAGCTGGTTTACATTTTCTTCCATGTAGTCCAGCAAAATTAAAAAAGGAACCAAAGGAGATTGCACTGTCCTGAAGCCGACACTCATGGCTGCTGTTCCGGTAAGTATATGATAAAAATATGAATAGGATCCTTTCTAAGACAAGGCCTTACAAAGCCACTCTTCCCATTTGTCCCATTTCTTCTTTCTATCCTACCTTTCCCTTTTGATCTTGTTTGATTCTAAACAAGGGAGTGCCTCCCTATTGGTCACCTTATACTTTTCCTGAAAGTTGAACCCCAGGGTTCAAGTGCTAACTGGGAGTCAGGCTAATCTCGAACCTGATCCTATCTCCCAAATTGTTATGAGCAAGAATCAGGTTCTTTCCCCCTGCCCCCTGCTTTGGTTGTCCTTGTTGAATATATTTTATATATTTTATATAGAGTTTATATACTCTAATAGGACATTTTAGATGAACTTCATATATAGAGCTGAAAAACCTGAATTTTAAGCCCTTTGGAAAAAGTAAAGCCTTTCACCTGAGTTTCTGATCTTAAAATATTTTGCTTACCTTTTAGGAAATCATGGATCGAATTTATAAGAATGTTATGAGCAAAGTCCAAGAGATGAGCTATATTCAGAGAACTCTATTCAAGATAGGATATGCTTACAAAATAGAACAGATTAAAAAAGGATATGATGCACCTCTTTGCAATCTGTAAGTACATTTCGTCAGTTGCAGCTTGGCCCTGTAAATTTAGTCTACAAATGTCACCACTGTGATAATAGGATTAGACTTTATTTTAATCACTATTTCAAAAACTTAAAATATTTGATTAGAAAAGCAGGAATGGAGCATCAGAGCATTTAAGAGAAAACTGTAAAACAGTGTAGCGCTTTCTCAAAGTTGCAAATAGAGATACCATTGTCCTTTCCTGCATTTTAAAGAAACTGTCTGGCAGGAATATTTTAAGCTGTTTTGCTAACCATCGTAATCCTGAATTTATATAAAAGGAAAGTTGGAATCCTGAGAGCTTAGCTTTCTTCCTCTTTTATCAAGGATACTGTTTAAGAAGGTGAAGGCTCTGCTAGGAGGGAACATTCGTCTGATGCTGTCTGGCGGCGCACCCCTGTCTGCTCAGACTCAACGTTTCATGAATGTCTGCTTCTGCTGCCCAGTTGGCCAGGGCTACGGGTTAACTGAGACATGTGGTGCTGGGACAGTTACTGAAGGTAAGCATTTGTAATTCTACTTTAGCTGTGACATCACTTTGTGTGCCCGTGTGCCCGTGTGCCCTTCGGAAAAATCTTGCTTTTCTTGGAAAATGAAACTCTGGGATCACTTATTTCTCTAATCTGATATATAATTTTCAATACTATGGTAGTTCTGGTTTCAAGAGTTGTGCTGCCAAGCTACAGTGACAGTTTCAGTCCACAGGAGAAACTTGGGCAATAATAACGTCATGCAATTTACTGCCTTTACTGCAATAAACCTGCTAGGGGATCAGCTCTAGCATGATACACAGCAAGATATCTACCACCTTAATCTTTTGTTTAAATAGAATATCATCTGCATTCAAACTCACCATAGCAGTCTTAAACTTAGTTTTTAACTTAAACTAGTCTTGCCATTTCATTATATTGCTCTTTGCCCTTTATGCCACATCATCCAGCATTTGTGATTCCTCCCACATTTTTGTCTCTCTCAGTTGTGGATGTCACTCTACTATTGGTCGCACATTGGTATCAATCCAAAATGTGGTATGCTAATACTGCTTTTTTGTTTTCTCTTATAGCTACTGACTATACTACTGGCCGAGTTGGAGCCCCTCTTATTTGTTGTGAAATTAAACTGAAAGATTGGCAGGAAGGTAAGACTTCAGTGATTCTAGATGTACTGAACCTTATAATGGTATATTCCATATTGTTAACCAGTAGAATACTGGTACAGTTATTCGTACAATTCTTTATTCGTGCATGTGTGCATGTGAAGCAAATAAAAAATGAGGGCTTGAATTAGCCCTCAAAGTGATGCAAAATCCTGCAATACGTCTCTTATCCTCCCCTCAAAAGCTAGAAATATATTAAAATTTATTTGCATTGTCTTAAATTGTGTTCCATTCATGTACATTGTTGTCAGGGTTAGGGGTTTTTATATTGTGTTTCATATAATATGCATTGTATTATATAATTACTATTCATCTATGCCTATTACCCTGTCTTTTCCAGACCCTTCCTATTTTTCCACCACCCTCATATACTTACTAAGCTCTCCTATACTAATTTCAACACTACTTTTTCTGCCCCCGTTGTCCTTTCCTTTTCCCCTTTGAGACACTTATGCATAAATTTCTAGCTGTCCTATTTTTACAATGATCTTATGCAATATTTATCCTTACGAGACTAATTTAGTTCACGCAGCATCTGTTGCATACTTCCCTATTTTCAGACAGTGACATAAAATTCAGCAAGCAATGATCTAGCAAAGGAGCTTTAAAATTGAATAAGACAAGGTTTTGAAACTGGCTTATCTTTATGATTTCTTTATGAAATCTTTCTAGGCGGTTATACAGTTCATGACAAGCCTAACCCCAGAGGAGAAGTTGTAATTGGTGGACAGAATATCACCATGGGATATTTTAAAAATGAAGAAAAAACAGCAGAGGACTATTATGTGGATGAAAATGGACAAAGATGGTTTTACACTGGTGATATTGGAGAATTTCATCCTGATGGATGCTTGCAGATTATTGGTGAGTGTATCCTCTTGTGTACTATGTTCTGTGTGGTGGTGGTTTAATCACTTGTTCAAACTGAAAAGCTTTCCCAACCTCATAAGGTTCTTATGGGAGTTGATGTGTCGATGTGTCTAAAAGGTGTGCCTGAACTGAGTAGTAGCAGCAACATTGGGGTTGGAGGAATAGGCAGGAAAAGTTATATTTTACTCCATGCAGTAAGCAAAGCTATCCGTTAAATCTAATGCTCCTTTTATTGCATTACAATATTTAAAGATAATTTAAAATGTTGCAGGTTTAGGAAAACCATTGCCGTTGAGTTGATTCTGACTCAATTAGGTCACTTATAGTGACCTAATAGAACTACCCACCATAAAGAAGCAGACTGCCACATCAGTGTCCCACACAGCAGTTTAACCAAGTACTTAACCACTACACCAGGGCTACTTTGTGTATTCAGCCAGAACTACTTGAACTACGTATTTTCTTACTGATGCATCTGAGCAAGCACTCAGATTTCAAAGCAAATATCTTCTTCCTGATTTTTAGATCGTAAGAAAGATCTGGTGAAGCTACAAGCAGGAGAATATGTGTCTCTTGGGAAAGTCGAGGCTGCCTTGAAGAGCTCTCCACTAATTGACAACATCTGTGCTTTTGCCAAAAGGTAACTTTGTGGTTAAAAGGATAGTTTTCAGAGGCAATACATCTCATGCTTGTCTTGTGGAGCAGCTGTTAGATTTGAATGACATGCTTTTGTCTTAGCAGTGCAGCTCCTAGTACACCACAGCTCTCTTGTGTTTCTACCAATTGTGTTTGCTATCAATTTTGCTATCAATTAATATCCATAACAATTTTGACAGAGCATAAGTGATGGTCAACACAGTTTGAGGTTTGAGCCCAAGTATTGGGCTGAGAGATTGAACTCTTTCTGCTTTGCTTTTATGGATTTTATTGCTTGAAAGAAAGGAATTTTCTCTACTGTGTTTCAATGAGTAACTTGCTTACTTTCCCCCTTTTTTAGTGACCAGTCCTATGTGATCAGTTTTGTGGTTCCAAATCAGAACCGGCTGAGTCTTATAGCACAAAAGAAAGGGATAGAAGGATCTTGGGTTGACATCTGCAATAACCCTGACATGGAAGCTGAAATACTAAAAGAAATTAGAGAAGCTGCAGCTACCAGTAAGTAACTTCACTGATTTTGTTTGAAAAATCACTTCATGAATCAAACCCCTCAGCATTTGGTTGGCTGTTTTTTCGACCCCTCACCCATCCTCTACCTTCTACTCCTTCCCCTCCTTGAAACTTTACTAGCTATTTGTCCTTATGAAACTGAGTTCACTCAGCATACTGTAGGAGCAAACGGGGGGGGGTCATCTCTCTCCCACAAAACTGGCAGTGCTCCTTAACACTAGGCCACCGAGTTTCCTGTGTTAGGTGCTATTGAGTAACTCTATATATTGAGTGATCCTATGAACAAAGGATCTGAACCTTGTCCTGTCCTGTGCTATCCTCGTCTTTGACATCCTGGAGCCCATTGCTCAACCTATCATTGAGGGTCTTCCTCACATTCACTGATTCAGACTACAGTTTTATATAACTTATGTATATTTTGAGAAGCAAAACAAAATCATAAGGTGCTGTGGTATGGACAATTTAGTATGCCATTAAATATGTTGGCTTTATCTTCTAAAGCCCTACAAAAATTATTAGTCATCCCATCTCATTTCATTTCTCATTTCATTTCAGCGAAATTGGAGCGATTTGAAATTCCCACCAAGGTCTGCTTAAGCCCAGAACCATGGACTCCAGAAACTGGTTTGGTAACTGATGCTTTCAAGCTGAAACGGAAGGAACTGAAGAACCATTACCTCAAAGACATTGAGCGAATGTATGGGGGCAAATGAAAAGAAGGTGTTATACTTACAGTATAACAGAGGCCTTTTTAGCATTTAAGCCTTTGATCTGTCAGTTAGAATGTAATTTTTTAATCATTAGTTGAGTCTACTTAGTTATGCATAGTGACACTGCTTAGTTATAGTGACACTGAAAATTATTTTCCCTTTAGCTGTGTAATTTTAGGGCAAAAATTTTTTTACGATTTATAATTTATAATTAAGATACTACTTGAGAAACATTCTGTTGAGCAAAATAAATTGGAATTGGAGCAGCATGTAGTTGTCTTGTCTTCCTTGTTCAGAAGCTTAAATCTTGACAAAAATGGTATTAACACTAAAAGTGCTGCAGAGCTTTAAAATCCTCTTCCAACTATTTATCTTGAAGGGGAAAATCAATTGTATTATAAATTCAGAATCAAATTATACTTTGGAAACCATTTCATGATTGTTGCATAGACATACACACCAAATAATATCCAGTAATATATTTAAAGGGAAATGTTGGATGTGGGTGAAGGGACTTGATAAGGGACTGAAACTTGTGTGGTCTCTAGATCTTAGTGTGGAATTATATCCCTGAGACAGTCACACTTGAACTTTACTGAAAGTTGTTTTTTTTAGAAGCAAATTCTTAATACTGTCTTTTTTGCACTTTATCATTATATATATGCGTTGCTTTGTACAGATGTGGGCCACCACTGCAACAATCTTTTTTGCTGATATAGTATTTATAAAGACTATTTAAATTACGTATATGGTGGAAAGAATGAAGGGTTTTGTAAAGATTTCTGTTCAGTGTTCTGAAATGTAACATCCTAGGCAGATCATTAACGTTGTGTGTATTCTCATTCTTCCCACCTTGCCTTTGAGGAACTATTATCATAGACTACTATTGAGTTCTACTGTACCTGGCCCACTGTTTACTCTTAAGGATGGTAAACTTTTCCAATATATGAGGGGTTCCCCCCACCATTTGAAATGATTTTCAAATGGAATGCTGTCTTAGAAGTTTGCAGCCCTCCCCTACCCCAGACATACCCCACTCCCCACCCTTGCCATCTCCCAATAGCTAGACCACTGCCAACTAATCTGTTATAGGTCCTTTTAGAAACACATAATCAACACTTATGTGGTTGGATGCTGCTAATTTGCAAAAATCCGAATATTAAGGGACCAGGGAGATGCCACTACCCCCTGATTTTTCATCAGGAAAAAATTTACATGTTATGTGTACAGAACTCCATATTCATAGTACTTTTCAAGTATTTGATCATAAAGATTTTGATCTCACTTTTTTATACCTGTTTAAATTGTTCACTGTCAATTATTGTAACATGTCAACCATTGAATAAAGTCGTACTTTAAAATTTTACTGCATTTGTATGTACATTTGTAAGTCACGTGTGGCATTTTCTTTTAATTACATGAAATGTGTCTTTTCTGGAAAGGTATGGCTTCTCCGATCTGAAAAACCAATGAGTGAATGAGTCATAAGTCATAAAGTTAAGGAGGATACTATTCAAGCAGTATAATCTGACTAAGCATCCTTGCCTGGCATAGAATTGCCTGTGACAAAATTCCTAAGGCAGTGATGAGAACGATCATATTTTCGGATTTGGAAAGTTATAAATGAATGTATTGATATTTACCTTCAGTTTAAATGCATGGTTACAAAGTTAAATTTTCCTGTTCATTCTGGATGAAAAGCTGGTTGTTTGAAACTTGTTTGAAATCCATGTTACACCAAACTCATTTGTGCTTAATTATGCATCAAGAGAAAAATCTCCGAGGTGTCATCCATCCTCACAATCCTGTACTTCCTGTACCATTGTTGCAGTTACTGTATCATTCCACCTGAGTTTTGCTCTTTGACTGACCCTCCACCTTTCCAAATAAGATGTTGAAACCAAGGGAGTTGAAACCAGTTCAGAGCTGACCCAGTGGGTTTTTCAGAACCACACAGGAGGAGTGTGCCCATCTTCTACAAAATCACCAGGGAGGTGTGGCCTTTGGGTCTGCAGCATAACTTTCCGTGGGCTATGCCATTACAGCTCCCAGGTTTCTTTGTGGTATTTTTGTGTGCTGTCAGGTTGGAACCGCCTCATCGCTGACCCTCCAGCTGGATTTCAGGTGTATGAAATGAACCTAGTATATATAGGTTCTGTCCACTTTCTGGTAAATGTAAAATGGTGCAACATGATGGAAAAGCAGATTAACTCTTAAAAGGTAGTAATCCAGCAATCTCTCAATTTGTTATATCAACTGTGACTCATAGTGACCAACAGATCTGAAATCTGGCCTATCCTGTGCCATCCTCAGCATCTCCGCCATACATAAGCCCATTGCTCCAGTTACTGTGCCAGTCCATCTCATCGAGGACCTTCCTCTCTTTGGCTGCCCCTCCAAACATGCTGTTCTAGAAGGACTCCTAACCGTGTGCCCAGTATGTGAGACAAAAATTTCACCATCCTTGCTTCCCAGGAGCACTCTGGCTTCACGATGATGGCTTCAGTGCCACGATCCAACTTGTTTCCCCAAAACCATTGACAACTGGGCTACAGTAATGCAAGGCTCCCTAACTGGTGCAAATGCTGAAAGAAGCAGTTACACTAGGCCTCTCCAGTAACGGTCAAATTTTCTTAAGTGCATTGGTGTGCTGATCCCACTCTTGTCATCTGACAGAAGGATTAATGGAAACCATAATTATAGGAAGTAGAGAAAATGATTACCTTGGAGGTATTGAAATTAACAGTGTAGATTGAAAGATGTGAACCTTATCCTGACAAATTCGTCATGATCTTTGCCATGCTCAAGTTCACTGGTAGTTACTCGTATCAGTCCATCTTGTTGAAGGTCTTGCTCTCTCCGATTCTCCACCTTTCCCAGCATGATGTCCTTCTCCAAAGGCCTGGCTCCTCCTAATAACATGCCAAAAATACGTGAGATGAAGTGTTTCAAGTCTTTACCTCCTGTGTCTTCCTCTAATCCTGATGCCACGTTCTTCACATAATCCAGCACCTCAAATTATTGGCTCAAAATAATAGGTAAGGAGAATACAACCCTCTTGATTTTAAGCCATGCAGTTCTTGCTGCAGAAGGTTGGACTGTAGTCTTCAATATGAATTTAAGCTCACCACTGGGCCAACTGGCAGCACCCTAATAGATTGAGGTTGTTAACAGTTAGTTTTCTTGGTTCCACAATCAACCCTTTTGGCACCAGCAGTCATGAAATCAAAAGATGAACTGCATTAGGTAAATCTGCTGGAAGAGCAGGGACCTTTCCAGAGTACTCAGAGGCAATGGCGTCACTCTAGAGACAAAGATGTGCCTGATCCAGGTTGTGGTCTTTGCAATTACTTGCTATGCATCAGAGAAGTGGGCAGTGACTAATGATGACGGAAGAAGAATTGATGCCTTTGAGTTGTCGAGCTGGAGAAGAGTCTTGAACATACCTTGGACTACCAAGAAAAAATCTGTCTTGGAGAGGGTGAAACCAGCTTTCTTCTTGGAAACTAGGATTTTAAAGCACCGTCTCACATACTTTGGGCATGTGGCCAGGAGAGACCAGTCCTTGGAGAAGGATGTCATGTTTGGAGGGGTGGAGGGACAGTACAGGAGAGGAAGACCCCAGATAGAATGGGGGTAGATGGGTCAGAGTCAGTGAGACTGGCTCAGGATAGGGCAAGCTTCAGAACTGTTGTACACAGGGTCACTATAAGTCACAGGTGACTTGATGACACAAAGTGCAACAAAGTGCTCCCTTGCTCCACTCAGACAACAGCTTGATCTAAGTTTCATACAAGCATAATTAAATGTTCTGGGATTCCTATTCTTCTCAATGTTAGCCATAATTTATTATAATCCACACATCCAAATATCTTTGCATAGTCAATAAAAGACAAACATCCTTCTGATATTCTCGACTTTCAGCCAAGATCCATCTGGCAAACACAGTGATAACCTTCATGTCACAGCTTCTTCTGATAACTTTCAGAATATGGATCACTTTTTTTAAAAACAAAACCAACTTGTTTCCAGGGTAGCCGCAGTCAAATCAAAAGACTTTGGGAAAATCTGCTTTCAAGGAGCTCTCAATTTTTTGGCTTTATTATTATTATTATTGATTTTAAGCAACATTTACAGATATTTTGGATTTACATTCATTCATTGTTGCACTTTTCTCCCTGCCCACTCCCCACCACCCCCAGTTCGCTCTTCTCTTTGAAAAGTAAAAGAAAAATTCCTTCATTGGTATACAATGAATACACCCCCACCCCGAGTATACTCCACTCTGCAACCTTCGTTCCAGACTCATGATAATCATAATACCCTATTGCTTTTATATTGCTTTTAAACTGAAATTTAAATTAACTCATCCGTTTCAATATACTCAGTATATTCAATATACTCTATATTCAGTATACATAATTTATCCAGTTTTTCTCATTCTTACCCCAACCCTGATGTCAGTCCCATTGTTTGTTCTTTTGTGACTGGGATATTTCATTCAGCATAATGTCCTCAAGGGTCACCCATTTTGAATAATATTGCATGAGTTCCTTGTTTTTCAATGCAGCGAGCTCCAAAATTTTAAAGAGCAAGGTTGTCAGTTTAAAGACCGTTGTCGAGTCGCTTGCAACTCGTAGCAACCCTGTGGACAACAGCTCTGAACCCTGGTCTATCTTGAGCCAAATTCATTGTCTCTGACACACCTACACCTATTACCCCAGCCCGTGAGTCAATCCATCTCATCCAGGGTCTTCGTCTCTTGCGCTGTCCCTCCACCCAGCTAATGCAAGCCCTGCTATTTTTCTTTGCCACCAATGCATGTGAAAGTTGAGCAATGAATGACTGAACGAGGATCAATGCCTTTGAATTGTGATGTTGGCAAAGAGTATTGAATCTACAATGGACTGCAAAAAAAGAGCAAATATATCTGGTTTGGCGGAAGTGTAGTCAGTCTGCTCCATAGAGGCAAAGATGAAACTTCACCTCGTATGCTTTGAGCA